GTTTTCCCCTAGAATTGTTATGGTATATTGTTAGTAGTACTTTCTGATTAATGCCCTAGTAAGGGGGTATTAAGTTGGGTCGTGTCTGTGCTTCCGTGTGTGCACATTCACGTTACCAGCTTTTTCTCACACATGTGTGATCCAATTCAGTTCAGAGTTGATATAGAGACAGGAATTGGTGGTGTTATTAGACACATCAAGTTATTTTTTTGATTCTTCAAAGTTTCACTGTGTTTTTCTTCGATTTTTAACATTTTTTTCTTCAAAATTGCTGGAAAATCCGACTTTTCCCGAAATTACCCGAGTTTATTCAGAGTTTTGATGACGCATGCGCAGTTCTCGTCTCGGTGGAAATCACAGTCATTTTTGTGCGAGGATACAGTATCCTGGAATTGTATCTTTATTTGCGCAGCGCTTATATGGACAAAATTGTGTCTCGTCAATTTCAAAGGTAAGAAACTGTGCTTATTATGGTATTTATATTTACACACTTTGTATTATCGTTTGTGTCTCGGGTTTGGTGATCGTGAGAAACTCTTGCTAACCTGGCAAGAGCTTCACCAGAAAAACTGCCTTTCTATTATTGTTGTAGGAACTGATTATGTATTGTGTAAATTGAAAGTTTACCTTGTGTTTCAAGAGGTTTGCAGTCCTCTCTCCGGGATTCAAAAGTCGTGGTGGTGTCGGCGCAATGCTGCTCTGAGATGCTTACCTTGCTGAAAATCATTATCGCTATGTTTGGATTTCCGCAATATTTATATTTGTTTATGATTTCCACAGCTATTGTTCTATGAGATGCGTCTTTGCTGTTCATAAACAGCCATAAATAAATTTATTTAGGTCGGCATGTACTCATTGAAAGTGTTGATTTATTTACGTAATCCACTGATCACTCCATCGTCGAATTTGAAAATATGTCGCTACTCAGAGAGCTTGCCGACAATGCTACTCTCATGTCTCTAATAAACATACCGGTACGTTTATTTTTTTCCCTGAAAAATTCCACCCAGTACATTCTTATTTGAGACTATACGTTCATCTGTTTTTCTAAATCGGGCCGATTAAAAAAAAATCATGCCTTTTCCCCATGAAAAACGAAGCCAAAAGATCGCACTAAAACATCACTAAATCTCTTCCGTGTTATTTCACCATAAGCTCGCTGAACTTTCATTAACATATTTAAATGATTTATGGTAATTTGAGCACATGGGCACCATCCAGCATTTTGATTGGTCGATTAGCGACTTGACCTATGTGGTCAATAAACACGACTCGTGCGTATGGATAACATGGCGGATATCATATGGCATCGAGCGTTAGCATGTAACCGAAAACATTTGCTTACGATAAAACTAAGTTGAATTTTACTTGCATTTCATAACAATTCAACGAATTTATTTTTTGTACATTAATATAATCACTACTGAGTACTAATCAACAATTGCAACACTTCAAAAACAAGTAAGCTACCGTACCGTGATCATTTATTACTAAGCAATGGTTTGTTTTTATTTTAAACTTGTACTTTATAATGGATATTAAATATAGTGAGTATTTTTTGTTGTCATGTGAACAGTTTTTTTGATTGACTGTAATTTTCCAACATTTGTTGACGCCCATTGTAGAACCAAATTAAGGCCTTTCACTCCTCTTTGACGCCTATTTAAAAGATTATACGGCATCCTGCTTTTCGCCAGCCACGAAGGTCACACTAGACGAACTTGTTCGATACTGCCGACCATTTTGTGCATTTTTTATCAACGCACAACGCCACGCAAATCGAGAAAAGTAATGTCCTTGCAACAATTTCAACAATACGTCACCATTGTACAGTGACTGATTTTAATAATAATAATAATATTTATTCAACATTAAAACAAACTACAGTGAGTTATTCTATGGTCGTATGAAAATAAAATAATGCTAAATAAAGCTAAATAAACACAAATACAAAAACACGTATAGAATCACAATAAACTTGCACGATACAGTACAATACAATACAATACACTAACTACTATTGCTAAGGAGTGGAAAATCACATTCACATTAAAGTCATAACTATGGAGAGAATATTTTTAAATTTGTTGGAGCTGCTCATATATCATTTGCATAATTTTTTGTATGTATTGTGCAGTTTCCAAGCCAGTCCGAATCGAGAAGTGATTGGTTGCTATTTCATTACATCTTGCAGCCTTTCAAACATTATATTGCTAGACATGCATCAATTGTTGTCCATTTATATTCCTAATTGCCCAGTCACAGTGTAAACTGCAATTTCTTTCTGGCTGGTATAAATACATATGTATATTAGGTAATATGTTTTTGTACTGAAAAGACTGTACACAAATATCTTTTTAATTAAATTTAACAGCTAATGGGAGCACATATGCTACAACCTCTGCTTACTTTTGACTAAATGTTTTGTTTTGTTTTTCCAGGTGCAGAGCCAGAATTTTTTTCTCAGAAAGCAAAGCCACTGGAACTGCATATATTACAAAAGCATACTATTTGCTGCATGTCTGACAATTGTATAAAGTTTTGCAGGTCCTTTTTTTTTTCTTTAAAAAGTGCTGTCAACCAAAGCATAAATATGTGTTTCTTTGTACATAAAAGTTCAATTTCACACGATTTGTTAATATCAATGTATGATAATAAAAACGTGATAATATTTTTCTGGATTCTTGCACTTTATTTGTATCATTGTCATATGAGAAGTACTCTTGTCCTTATTTAGAGATATTGAAACTAATTCAGGGCCACAAACTCCATGTAGACCTGTACATGAAGTACATGGGAAGTAAAGTTGTCTCAGGTACTGTACACCAAGGATCATTGCAGTTTCTCAGTTCCTCATCTGGTGCTACCGGGTAGTACTTGTATGACAAACAGTATCATTGCCCTGTTCTTATCTAAAATATTAGAAGTTTTTCACTGGAACAGTTCTGTGATTGACAGTGTCCTTGTATTAGGAATACAGTTGTACAAGGAAGTTTATCCAGACACAACACTGACTCTTCAACATATTTGCAGATCTGATTTGTATACTAGCATGTCATTTTACCTGTTGTACTTGTTTGTTGCTCTCTAGTGTTCTTGCTGAGACCAGGATGGAGAGTGCTATAAACTTGAAAATGCCATAGAAATAATGTTTATGTCCATGCCAAAAACTGAACAAATTGTATGTTGCAACTTTCAAATGACAACAAGTGAAGGCAATGTCATTCATGACTTGTTCGATTGAATAAATTTTTACGGCTTGGAGGCCATTTTTTTCTTCAAAAATCTTTAAAAAAAGGGGCTTTTTCTAGCGGTTACCAGCTTTTTCACAGATATGTGTCATCCAGTTTTGTTCAAAGTTGGTACAGGGACAGGTAATAATTCTTTACAAGTGCACATCGCATTATATGTTTAACAAGTTATAAATTGTCTCAGAAAAGCCAAATGAATATTTTTTTTACCCCACCCAGCTAAAATTGTTCCACATCAATTCTGAACAATTAATAATGGAATTTAGTACAGCT